CAAGAAAAATGTACCCAAAATTGTATTTATTGCTACAGAATTTGTTATTCTGTAATCCTGAAATAGGAAAACAAACCTTCACTAGTGTCAAAATGTATGATATTTTCACTGTTTTCACCATTACGGGCTATCTGCTAAAGCTGTTTTTCAGACACTGAAGACCTGAGTTATATTGTTCAATAATACATATGTATATGTGTGTGCGTGTCAGGGGTGGTATTTTGGGAACATTTCACCCAAAGCACTTCAAGCTGATAACCTTTATCCAAATACATAAAACAAGAGCCATGTCAAATGCACTATAAATAGCATTAATAGTAAGGAATCAATAGCATCCAAACCTTTAGGTAACATCTTATTAATCCGCCCTTGGCATGCATGGGCACACTGCTGTAAGGGCTCTCAAAATGCAACAGTCAAAGGCGAAGGATACAATTTGTTCAACTAGTTAATGCAACTGCTATTTAACCAACACAGCCACTAAAATGCCACCTAACGAAATACTCCCTACCATGATAAGCAGCAGAGACAAGCGTGATAAACACAAAACGTTTTTCTAACAAAATAAATTAAAAGTCCTCAGTGCTGATACCGTTGTCTTGTTTTATTTTTTCCCGAAGATATGTACGGATCTACAGTTGACAACAACCATTTTAATCCCTGATTCTTCTGCACCCCCCACCCCATTTCTTGTACCGCGCCCAACACAATGGTACAACTGCATCTCCCAGGTATCGCCTCGATATTTATTTCTGCTTTCACAGTGACAAAGGTGAACTCCGATGCTCCGAAGATGCTTGCAGCAAAGCAGGGTGAAAGATATTTCTAAAGACATACCCACACGCGGGTTACAGAAATCCAGCCTCCATGAGATGTTTTAATCTGACAAATTAAAATGGTTGGGAAACGCTATTTGGGTAACGGAATCGGCCGCCACATGCATTGCTGATGGGGGGGAGCAATAAAAGGTCTTTAAAATAGGTCACTTTCAGCCAAATCCCACACCAGCACCGAACAAAATGGTATATACACTGAAAACTCACCGCTTGGGGAGGAGCGAGGGGCAGGGAGGAAAAAAAATAAAAAGGGGGAAAAAAATAAAGGGCAAGAATCAGGAATCCACGCGGGTCTCCCAGGGACCCCCAAGCCCCCCGGGGGTTCCGGGCTCTGCCGGCGAAGCCCCCTGTGGTGGGGTGGGGGGGTGGGGGCCGCAGACAAAAAGGGCCGCGGCTCTGGGCACGCCTGGCCCCGGCCCCAGCCCTGGGCCTCCGGCGGCCCTGACAGCGGGGAACACCCCTCCGCCCGCGGCCGCCCCTCCGCGGGAAGCGCCATTTCGCCGCCCGCTCCCCCGCCGGTGCTCGGCGGCGGCCGCGGCCCCGACCCTGCGGCAGTGCCGCAGAGCGCGGCGGGGGAGGCGCCGGCCCCACCGGGCCGCCCCCCCCAACCACCATCAACCTCCTCCCTCACCCTCCCCGGGGCCGCCCCGGCCGAGCCGCCCGCCTTACCCTCCGCCGCAGCCGGGCTGGGAGCGCCGGTCGGCCCCCCGCGGAGGAGGAGGAGGACGAGGAGGAGGAGGAGGAGAAGAAGGAGGAGGAGCGGGGCAAGGGGCGGCGGCCCCGCGGGGGGAGGCGCCCCCGGAGGGGCGTCGGGCCCGGCCCCCGCGGGTGCCCGGGCGCGGCGGGCACAAAGGCGGCGGGGCACGGCACCTAAGATGGCAGGGCGGGCGCGGCGGAGCGCTCAGCCACCGCCACCACCGCCGCCGCCACCGCCTGGGCCCCGCTCGCCGAGCCGCGGCCAGGCCGCGCCGCGGAGGCGCGGCGTGCGGGAGGGCGGGCGGCTCCGGCCGGGCCGCCGCGGCGGAGCGGGTCCGTGTGCCGGGCCGCGATCGCTGCCGCCGCCCCGCCGCCGCCGCCTCCCCTCAGCGCCGCCCGGGCTCCGGCTGCGCCGCCGCCGCCGCTCCGCGCTGCCCGCAGCCAGCGGCCCCCGCCCGCCCCTCTCGCGAGACTTCGCCGCCCTCTCCCCCCCCACCAGCACCGCCGCGGCCGCCGGGAGGGGCGGGGGGCGGCGGGGGGGGCAGGGGCGGGGCCGGGCCGGGCGGCGGAGGGGCAGTTGTGGCGCGGGGGCGGGAGGGGCTGTTGGGGTTGGTGCGAGGGGTCACTGAGAAGGGGGCAGCCGGCTGTGAGGGGCTCTGTGGGGAGGGAGGGGTTGCCAGGGGCTTTCGGTGTGAGGGGATCGTGAGGGGGGGTGTTCTTGTGAGGGGTCGTTGATGTAAGAGGTCGTTGTTGTGAGGGGTCTGTGAGGAGGGGGACAGCCGGCTGTGAGAGGTTGTGTGGGGAGGGGGCGTCGGTGTCAGGGGCTGTTGGTGTGGGAGGACTCTGACGGGGGTGTTGGTGTGAGGGGCAGTTTGAGGGGGCAGGTTGGGCAGTGTGAGGGGTAATTAGGGTGAGGAGTCACTGAGGGGCAGGAGGGAACCGGCACCTGGGGGTGATGAGGGGAGTTTTGGGGAGAGGGCTGTGGGGACCCTGAGGGGGGAGAGGGGCCTGATGATGGTGGGCTGCTGCTGAGGCCGTAGGAGCTCAGCAGGGTTGTGGGGGGACAGCAGGCATGAGGGGGAATGGGGAAACTGAGCAAAGGCGTGGGGCAGCTTGGCTGGGGGCTCTGTGAGGGAGCAGAGAGAAGGGAGACTCAGCGATGGGGTTGATGGGACCTGGACATTGGTGGGGAGATGAAGTATGAGGGCAGTGGAGAGGCCTGGGGCACGTGGGAGCTTTAGAGGGGCAGGTGTGGGAGAGTAGGGTGGTTTGGGGGCAGGTTGGCTGGGGTAAGGCTGAGTGGAGCTGCCTCTCCAGTCAGGAGCAGCTCAGCTACCAGCAGTGACGATCCCAGGAGGTGGTAGGTGCTAACTCTTGTGCAACTACCCTCACCAAGTGGGTACATTTCAGCCTGCCCTTGGCCAAACTGTGTCTGGTTTATGATCACAAAAGGGAAAAAAAAAAAAATCTCATGGACTGAGCACATGGCCTCCCAAGCTGTAGTCTTGGCTCTCAGTCTTGGTGTTGAACTTGGTAGGTTGTTGAGCCTTTGTGTGCTTTGGTATCTCCATCTATGAAGCAGAGATAACAGTTGGCTTCATGCAGGGATTAATTATCGCATCTTGTAGTCACGTATTTGTTTATTTGTTTTTACTATAGATTACAGCTGGAGGAATTCTAAACAGTCCACTTCTCCTCGTCTTGGTGTTTGAGCGCATTGTGCTCCTGTCTGAACAGAGGAAATCACTGAGGTCAGTCTCCCTTGTGTTTACAGTTGCTTTCCCTTTCAGAAGTATGGGGGCAAGGAATCATCAAAATAACAATTCGTACTGACATCCTGATAATAAATGAATAGAAACAGTTACATAAGACACAAACTTTGTCAAAGGTGTGTTTGTAGGGATGGCTTCCACTTTTGAATTCAGGCTTATACTGAAGGGACAGTGCACTCGGTTATAAAGTACCCTGCAAATATTCAGTTTTGAAGTGTCCCCAGTATGAAATAATCCAATTCCGTAAATCCAGTATTACTGCTCCTGCTGAAATAAAACAAGCGAAACAAACTTCCTTCCTGTTTTCCCATAATCTAATAGGTATTTTGTATCATAAGGCTTTGTATCCAGCAGGCGTTTGAGGGTGATGCTGGATACTATGTATGTAAACTTGGCATTTACCTTTAGACAAGCAGAGCTACTGGGGACTATTCAACCTGGGATGGGGGAAAGTTGAGACCAGAGATTGGCTGAAACAACTGTGGACCACACCTAGAGTTTTGTGAACTTGGCACATGGTGGTCTGACACTTTGCCTTTTCAAATCCCAATAGGAAAAGTAAGACAGATGTGGATCACTTCAAACACATGTAGTTTAGGTATTGGGAGAAGCAAACTAAAGGTTTATCTGATTATCTCAACCTCGAAGTTGGCAGCTATGACAGGAAACTTGGATTCATTCATCTGCCAAAGATATTTGTAGTGTATCATTTGACAAGTTAAAAGGCATTTTTGTAATGACAGAAAAATAAAACCATTCACTTTCTGAAAATACGGTTTCTGTCTTCTAAAATAAAATGGATTTGGAGACATGCTTCTGGGGAAATTAGGGACATGCTTGAAAGGTAAATATTTGTATTTTCAAATGTTAGAACAATGGTGTTTAAGGCAAAACCGCTCAGCATGGCCTGTCAGTATAAATTTGATTTTGTACTTGTTTTGTCAAATTAGTGGGTATCATTTGCTTTTGGAGGTGGGAGAACAAAATGGAGCAGTGAGGGAGTGATCCGCCCACGGGGTCATAAGGTAGAATTGAAAATTGGATTCTTCTGAATCTTGATCTTGTACTTCTTCCTGCAGACAAATTGCCTTTAAAGCTCATGAATTATGAGAGTTAGCAAGGTCTGTGGAGCTAACCCGGCAAATGCCAGCAGAGAGTCTGGGCCTCAGCTCTTTGTGTTACACACATAAAAAGATAATGAGAGCACTAGGTAAAAATCCTTAGAGTCTAACAGTGGCTGCAGAAAAATGTGAATAATGCTTTTGCATTAACAGTCAACTATTTTACTTAAAATACTAGATCTGTATTTGGTACGAATTCAGTGACTGCTTCAGAAACATACAGCATCCTCTGTGAACGGACAGTTTAGAAAAAAAGTCCACTGAAATTCTGAAGGAACAGCCAGTGTGAAAACTACCTTGATTGTTGTCAGCTAAACTAAACAGCACATTTAGCTTTCCTAGTCCTGTGCATGAGGCATGTTCTTGCTGCCTTCTCAGATGACCATAGCAGGCACCTAGAAAGTTAGTTTAGCTTCATTTGCTAATTTCCTGATGCAAATTTGGTCCATTTAAAGAACTTTATTACATAAAAGAGTATGTCTGTATCTGGGATTTGCACCAGTCTATCTATCAGTTAGCCATACTCAAAGTTAATTCCATCTGGAGGACGTGCCAGAACATCAATAAATAAATATTACAAATTGCCTAGCGGTTCAGCTGACAGGCAGAACTGGTTTCAACACATTGTTCCCAATGTGCTGCTGCAGAGCTGGTCCTGGGGTAGACCTGTAGGACATTCCAGCACGGACAGGACCTTTAAGAGCATGCATCAGCACTCCATAATATTGTAGGAGAGGAAGTAGAGAACAATACTGTGTCCAAAGGAAACTGTGGCAAGAATTTATTCAAGGCACGCTGTAATTACTCAAGCTGGGAGTTTGGCCAGGACATTGGGGTTAACACCCCTACTCCTTTAGAGGTGTCATAGTTTATTTTTTTTTAATGACTTTAAGTGATGAGAAGCTTGGCTTTCTGTCTCAGCAAAATGACACCAGCTCTAGCAGTGTGAACTTCTTACAGCAACACGAAGGTGCTGGTTCAGAACAAACTCAGAGCAGTGATGTGGCCTAGTACAGTAATCATTGCTTTATAAATACTTGCAGTAGATAAGAAAGATAAGAGTGTGATTAGGGCACAGTTTCAGCTGCTGTAATCACAGCCATGCCTTCCTCAGCCTTCAGTCCACATGCTGCTTGAATCTGACCATTTTTAAGCAAAGGATTTTAAATTTTAGAATAAGTCACAGAACTTGAAGCAAAGAAATTTGTTTATTAATTATAGAGCAGTTATGAACAGCATTTGTCAATGCTTTTTTTTAGGAAATTTGTCATCAGACAAGTAGAATGTAATTTAGGCAAATTAGGGAGTTCTTTAATTCTTTCTTGGCACTGAGATTTTTTAAAAAAGTATTCTGTGTGTGTATGATGTGCAGGTTTAGAAACTAACTTTCAGGTTGTTGTCTGCTCACAAAGAAGAGAAGCACTTGTGTGCTTTAGTGTGTGAGCAGTTGTGCAATGCACAAGTGAGGAATTGTTCTCCTTTTACTAGCTCATGAAACCTGCCATCATTCCTGTAGTGCAGTTTGGGCCATTATTATGGGTTATGAGGTTATACAGGAAAAACATGTTCTAGATGGTCAAAATAAACGAGGTAGAGTCTTCCAGATTGTTGTAATCTGGTTTTGTATCAATGAAGTAAACACTTGGGTACATCCACTGGGATGAAGATATCATGTCAGGCAGTGTCCCTCTGACAGTTTGTGTTGTAATGACAAAAATGAAGCAATGCTGATGTTATTACGTAACTGCTTTTGTATTGTATGACAACAATAATACCACTTCGCTCTTCTCTTACCTTTTATTAGAGGAACAAACATGCTCCTTGCTGGGCACTTCTGACTGACCCATGAGTCGAGTGGTTTTAGGTATTAAGAAGTGGGAAAATGGTGGCACAAGAAGTACGTGCAAGGTCACATGGATAATCAGTTTCAGAGACATAAACAAAATCTCAGCCTTCTGACTGTCCCACTCTACCCTCTGGGCAACCAGACAGAAGTGGAAAAGTGGCTTGCAGTGTGACTCAATAGCTTTTCCTTCCTCAGCCACTGCCATGCTGGGCAATTACAAATAAATGCCAGTAGGTCATTTCCACTTGAGTCAAACAGGTTTCCAAGGGACTCTAGGTAGGATGTCTTCTGCTGGTGAAGGCTCTTCGATGAATCTTTGCAATGGTTTTGCTTTTAAATATTTGCACAATTTCAGGACTAACTGCTTTTCCAGGCCATGACAAATGAGTATAAGGAAGGTCTATTCAGGTGTCTCGAATCTTTTCCCGACAGCAGGGCCGAAGGGGGTTTTACTCTGGCATTGGTTCAGAATGCCTGGAATGGGCACAGTGATCAGTATTGTGGAGGCCTTGACCTTGAAGAATGGCTGATGGAAAGAAGTAGCACAGGAAAGGCTTGTGCCTTGGCTCTGGTCCTTGGATGGATGGGTAAGAAGAGGCCTTTGGCAGAGAAGGGTGAAAGGTGACTAATAATGTGAAACTGGGAGGAAACTCATTACAATTATGCAATGTGCTGGTGGCTTTCTTTCTCTGAGAGAAGACACCTTTTGTTAGTTGTCCACTGGCAATTGCTGCTCATGCTGTTTTCTGAATAGAAGTCTAAAACACTTATTTCTCTGCTTGACTTAGGAAGCTTAATTTAGCTTTGCAGCAATGAAAATACAACAGCACCTCATTTCTTTGTTGTCTGTCTGCAGAATTTCTTTTAGATTTACTTTGCCTCTTCCCTTTATTGTTGGTTCTTTCTCTGACTGTTCAGTAGTTCAGCCAAGATTATGAAACTTTTTTCTGCTGTCATGCACTCAGTCCCCATATCTCACTTGTTCCATGGTTTTCTCTGTCCTTGCCACACTTCCAAAGCTTCCATGGAGAATTTTCTTGTGGCAGATCAGGAAATGGTCTGGTCTAATCCTTCTCCACAGGTTTCCCCCCACAGCAGAGCCAGCAGAAGAGAGTTTGCTCTCTGCCTGACCCTGCTGGGTTAGGGCTGGATGTCTTAGCTCAGACAGCACAGCCTAACAGTGCTGTGACTGCACTGGCCTTTGTCCTAGACTGGCTGGTGTATGGATGTGTATTTACACCTGCTCTCCCTGGTACTGGAAGAGCAGTTTGCTGGAGATGATGATTGGAACTCCTGGAGCAAGAGCAGGTGGAACTTAGATTCCATATTAGCATGGTGGCTTTTCCAGTGATCTGCAATGAACATTGTTGGCCCCATCTGGATCTTGATCTCCTGTTTTATAGATTTTATAGCCAAACCAACATTTTACATTATTGTAAACACGCTCCCAGGAACTGATTCTTATTATAATCTGTAAAATAGTTGTGAAAATGTGGCCTTGCTCTTGAGCAATTCTGCAGTCACCTATCTCCGAGACATTGTATGTCACCCTTGAATAAGATCCTAGACCAGAAAAAGGGTTAGACTGCATACAGATTAACAAATCTGTTGCTAGTATCTCTGGCTACTGCAGCATGACTCACCCATCAGTGCTTGTCAGTGTCTGGCGTGACCTCATTGAAAGCTTCAACATCTCATATGCGAAGGCAGGTTGTAAAATCCAGTGTGGGAATCCTAAATAGGTGGAGAATGAAGTTCTGAGAGTGTGATAATGCATACATCATAAACATCCCCCTAGAAATCAATTATGCCCTCACCAAAAATATTCTTACAGATTTCTGAGGGTCTCTTGATGCTAAGCCTGCCTTACCTTGCTTCTACTAAAAAAATACCTGTAACTCAAGATAGCAATAGAAATTAATGCTGGTGGAAAAGTTTAAGAGTGGATGGGACAGGTCAGGAAGAAGATGCTCTGTCGTTTGCAAGGGCAAGAAAGAGCTGATGATTCTTTTTTATTTATCAGTTTCTACAGGCTTTTTCTCTTTCTTTTCCTCCTGTGTCAGTACGGGGGGGGCTTCTGGTATGGTGCTTGAGGGAGACAGGTGAACAAAGAGCAACAGGGGCTGTAATAAAGGGAGCGTATGAGCAAATTAGTTTGTGATATCTTATATGTGGCTTAGATATGTAGTGTGATGATGAGAGAAAAAGTGGGAGGCAACAGGAGTTTAGAAATCAGATGGTTCTCTTCAGCTGGTGCTTGCTGAGTAAACATGAAGCTTGTGCTCAGTGCCTGTACCTCCTTCCCCTGGGTTGTCACACACTAGCAGATACAAGCAATGCTGCTCATTCTAAACTGAGCCAGCTGCTGGCAGTTTAATTGCAGAGCCCACATCTAGAAACAGAAGCTCTTGTCTTCTCACCTGCTACTGAGGGAACTTTTAGTCTCTAAAATCACAAGACTGGCTTTGTCCCACTGGTATCTGCTGCCACTTAAATGCCTAGCTGAAAGTGAAGTCCCTGGCTGCTGGTCTGGTTGCTGTCCTTAGGATATGTGAATGTCTGTTCCTGTTTTGCTGTAGGTGATTTCTGTATGTGGCAAGTTGTCTGTGTCAGCCTGGCAGCTTTGTCCATAAGCAGCAGTGGTTATTGTCTCTTGGTTTCCCAACCCCACTGTCCTCAAAGCTGCAGCTCTTCACTGGTTCCACAGACCTGCTTTGTCACAAAGTATCAGTAACTTTGCAGAAGTCACTGCATCCTCTGCTGTGGATCAACCTTGGCACCTCTCTGAATGTAGGTATGTCCCTCCTGCAGACCTGCTTTTCTGTCCAAACTCTTACCTGACAAATTTGTTCTCTTACCCTTTGCCTTAGGTAGATATTATGACTTCTGCATTCCTTAATATTTTTTTTCTTGAGACTGGGAACATGGATTATTATTATTTTTGGGGGGTGGGGGAAGAGGGCAAAGATCCGGTTTTATGTTCATTTTGTGTTCTGATTCTTCTTTAAAGAAGGTGTAGAAGGTCATAGAATCAAGGCACGCATGTGATTTGTAAGGAGAAAATAGGCAACCTTATGCCTTTTCATCCATGATTCCTTACCATGGAGATCAGCCAGATACTATTTGCTTGGCTGTTTTGTGAATCCAGGGTGAAATAAGTTGATGGCTCTGCCCAGTTTCTAGTACACTGTGCACATACACTCAAAATACATCTAGTTCTAGAATTAACGTCTCTGATGTTCTTTGCACAGAGACCAAGGCCTAGATGATGTTTTGAGACTGAGCATGCCTTCCCTGGATGATCTGATGGATGTGCATCATGCTATACTCGGGTGAAAGAGATGGAAGCCCCAAGTGCTGCCCATGCTCCATTCAGCTGTGGGGGCGTTGGCTTAAACGATTGATCCAGTATTTGAAGCCCTATTTACATTTACATCCTTGATTTACACCTTGAATTTTAGTATCTTGGCAGACCTGTCCTTCACATACTAAGGCATACCTCGGGTTCGAGTAGAATCCTGCTCTTACGTCAAGCTCAAACCTCACTGCTGCTCCCTGCGTTCAGCTGGAAAGGGACGGACACCATTTATGACTGAATATCCTGAGTCACCGATTCCCAGCTGGCATGTGCGCTGCAGTTCCGTCTCTTCCTTTCCGACTGCACTCCCTAGAGGAGATTGGGAACAATTGCAGTTGTCAGCTCCAGCGTGGTGTGTGCACTTGTCAGGAACCACACAATTGGTGGACAACCCCTGACTACGTCTATGGGGTGAGCTGCCTGTGATTTGTTACTGTAAGCCTGATGTTTCCATAGTGGAAAACAGAACAGGTGTAGGCATATTAAAATAAATCAGTTTCTTTATATTTACTAGTAAAATATCTACGTTGTGGAGATGGTGATAGAATGTCTTCATTAAATAATTGGTGAAGACCGGTCTCACAGTAAGATAAATTGTGTGAAAGTGGATGAAAACTAAGAATCTAGAGAGGTGATGAAAGGTGAAGTAGTTACTCCCTACACTGGCAAAGCTCTGCTAGCAGGAACATGGGTCCACCATGCAGGAGCCAACAGGTTATCTGTCAGCCACCCTTGTCGTGCTGTGTTTGTTATCGTGCTTGTGCAGCATCCCAAAGAAAGGCTGCTGAAGCTCAGCAGGGAAATAATGCAACATGTTGCTTTGTTATTTGATCTGACCAAAACATTTTCACCATGTAATGCTTGATGCTAGTGTTGTTCATGGCTCTGGGGGAAGCTGAAACACAAAGCACTTCATTGAGCTTTTTGATCCAACAGGTCTTGACATATTGCTGCTGGACATGTCTCTGTGTCTGATCTGAACTGCGACAGTTCCATTCTGTCCTGCTAAAATAACAACATATTAAACAATACTTTCTGTCCGTGCTGTTTCCACCTATTGACTAAAAAGTTAAATTCTTACTAAGCTAGTTTTAATTTTCATATCATAAAATATTAGTTAATGGTCAGCTGATTTCCCTGGCATGAAGATTGTAAAGTATATAACACAGATTAATGCTTGCCTGGGACCAAATGAGTTGAAGCAGCTCCTTCTGCTGAAACACAGAGATGAAATACAGTGAAATACAGAGATGCTCTGCAAATCAAATCTTTGTTTACAACAGGTCACCAGTGTTTGCCTGGGACAGTCCATCCTGTTAGCAGGCACTGATCCTGCTATGGAGGAGATATGTGGCTCGTGCTGACTCACGAAAGCAGGTGCAAGTTGCATCAGTGAAATAAGAAGTGTCTCACCTTAGAAGCGGGATGTAGGTTTTGGTGTAAGAACTGTTAAAGAACCACCTTTAGAAGAAAGGTGGAGGGGAAAATATATGAGACACTCTGAAGCCTGACTTGATGAAATTCTGATTCTTCTTGTTGCATCAGGGGCTTGTTCCAAATGAAATAGGTGCACAGCTGTTAATACCACTGCCTGAAGGGTCTTGGGAAAACATGCACTGTAGCTGAAGACAGCAGTAGTCCTAAGGGGACTTTTCTGGGGTGGGTTGGCTGACAGCTGCTAAAAAACTTTCATACTTGTTCCTCCTTTATAGATCTGACTCATCTGTCCTAAATACAGCAGTTTCAGTATTTTCTCTTCTCTCCTATCATTTACCTTGTATTTCATATCCTTCAAGCTTCTTTTTGTATCTCTGGGCTTAATTCTGTTAAATCCAGTTGCTTTGGCTTCTACTCTGCCTGTGCTTTGCACCTGCTACAGAACCCCAGCGAACTTGGCAACCAACCCTTGGGCACTCCAGAGAAAACAACTGTCTAGACCAGGCACCTTCTGCTCAATGCCCTGGATGTACCCCAGAGCTCCCAGGCATTACTCTGCATTCGGAACAACATGTTGCTATGCAAATGGTTCCTCTCTGCTCTTCCTTTTACTTCCACAGAGATATGTGCACCCAACTTCTCAGCAGGCACTCAACTAATGTTTATTGATCTTTTACAAAGTTCTGATGCAAAGGAAGATTGATAAAATCTTGTCCGGTGTTTTCGTGCACTCGTAATTGCACCTGCCTCCTCCTAGGGAGTGAGGCAAATGGGAGTGAGGGAGCCAACAGAATAAACAGCACCTTCTGCAGAGGCCTTAACAGAGCCTCTAGTATCCAGCAGAATTCAGGAAGGTGTATTACTCTTTCCTAAAAGGAGGAGAAATCAAATCTTGGTGTAAAGAGTCCTATGGCATGGGCAGGGCAGAGAAGCCTTAATGCAAAGTCACAAGCCATTCCAGTTAAAGCCCCTGTTGCCCTAGGCAAACACAGAGCCTGTCAGCGTCCTGCAGCTTTCATACAGAGATGTGACCAAAATAGCTTCACAACTTTACAATGTGGCTAAAAATAGCTTGCAGGTCAGCTTTTTTCTCAAAGGTAGTGGTGACATCAGGGGGAGAGCACTCTTGCTGCTGTTGGGTGCAGGTAGAACTGGGGTAAACAAAGCAGGGACAGCAGCAGTTTAATTAGCTAAGTAGCCTTGAGGAAAGAGAGAGAAGGAGTAAGAAAGGACTAAGGAGGTGCAGTGGAGAGATGGACTAAAGCGTTAAAGGTGTGGTTAGACCCGCTGCCACTGGCCAAGTTAGTGTGCTTATACACAAACAACTTCTCCCTGGGTTTTGTTTCCATGATGTTTAAGAGTTATCAGTCTGTTCCTGTCTCCTTGTGGCCTGTGTCAGGATGTGTCACTGGACTGGCTGGCCAGCCAGCACAGCGTGTTTCTTGCTCCTCATTTCCAGACAGTGAACACAGCCCATGACATCACCTCTGGCCAGTGGCAGATCAGAGGCCAGGCCATGGCAATGTCAAGTGTGTTTTGCTGTAGCCATTCAACCAGAGAGTTGATCTTTTACAGTGCAATTTGCATGTGGAGAAATCTGGATGGCCCTTCATTCTAGGGGGATTTCAGTATTTGTTCTTGGGCCAAAAATAGACTGTTTTTGTGGGGTTGAACTGTCTGTTTTTGTAGAGCATTAAATTTTACCAAAGGAGCAAAGCTGTTCGTCATGATCCTCGGAGTTTTAGTCTCTGTTGTGTATACTAAGTCTGGCCATGGAGATGAGTCTCAGCCAAGTCTAGGAGTTAAGTGCCTGATTTGGAACGTTGCAGGAATCTAATGTAGGTTATGTGAGGTTTGCCATGCCTGCAGCCCCTGTGCTGCTGAGGTAAGTGTACTGCAGCAGGCTGTGCTAGTGAGAATTTCCTTTGTGCTGCAGGTTTCATGCCTAGTGCTTTTATGGTGCTGGAAGGGGAAGGAGGCAACAAGAATGTGAAAAATCAAGGCTAGGTCATTACTGTCAGGTGAGGACAGAGTCCTGTAGCCAGGCAGATGTGACAGAACACACTTGCTGATGCTGCTACCAGGAAGCTTGAGAGAAATGTGGCTGAGTGAGAGCAGTGCGCATGTGCCTTTGGAGAAAGGAGGCTATCTGTGAGCTCTTGCAATGCTTTTCTCTGCCCAGCAACATCATTGCTTCTGTTCCTTGCGTTCTGCTTAAGCAGCTGTTCTGCTTTTATGATCCAATCTATTCTTCGTACAGGGCCATCTTCACACTGAGCACCTCCACTGTCATAGCAGTTACCGGAGAAGAAGGACTGACACGACCTCAGGTTTGCTTTGAGGGCAAGAGCACCATAGTTACTGTTCTCTGAAACTAGCATGAGAGCCTTGTAGGGCCAGCCTCTGTCCCCACCTGTGTAAAATGGCTCCTGTTGCCTCAGAAGAGGGAGACTTCAGCCAAATGCATCTACATATTGACAGCTATAGAGAGAATTATGCACATGATCAGCTTGCTAAGGATTTCATTTGATGTGCAGCTGAAAATCAGCTGCCAATAAAAAAGGAAGCTCTGCATCCCTACTTGTGTGCTTCTAGTGCATTTAGAAGCCACAGGCCATGTTGATTGCAGACTGCAGTTAGAATAGGTTATAGGTAAAATCAACTCAATACCACCACCATGACCATTTAGCACAGTCATTTCTGAGCACTGCAATACAGCTCTCACCACTGCCTGCTCCTTTCCTTCAGTGAGAGCTGCTCTCTGGTCTGCCCTGCCCAGCTTGTAAATGTAGCTCATCACCCTCTGCTTCTTTGCAAATGAGCTGTGTAGGTAAGGGGAGGAGGAGGCAATCCCACTGCAACCTGCCCATCCCAGCCAGTCATAAATGCTCTGTGCTCCTTAGGCTTTCTGAAGTTATTTGCCACGTGAACCGTGTGCCTATAAAACTTTGCTGTTTCCTTAAATGCTCTGCCTTTTGCAACAGGAGGTCATTTCCCAGTGGGGAAAAACAGGCTGTTGATGTGGTAGGCGCTCAGCTTGTAGTTTGGATAAAATCCAGGGCCGATTAGTTTGGGCGCAGCACTGTGCTAACACAGGCAGAATGCACCCAGACTGGCTCCCGTCGGGATAGTGCCGCTCTCCCCACACTGCTGTCCACGGCCCCTGGTTCAGTGTGAGCACCAGTCCCGTCCCTGCCTGCACTGACATGCCCACAGGGAACCAGAATTTGCACCCAGTGCTGCTTGCCTGTGTCTTTATTGGTGTCAATCCTCCCAAAGCAAATAGTGATTTGCCTGTCTGCACTGACTCAGCTGTGCAGTAAGTCCATAGCTAAGGAACCGCCTTCCATAGAAGATACTGAGGCATTTTAGAGGAACTTCTCTCTGTCCCAGGAAGTGCACTGAAGTGAGCAGTGCTGCAGTGGGCAAGAAAACCTACCCAGGAGCCATTAATCTCTCAACATCTGTAGCCCTGCGGTTGTAAGCACTGGGGGTTGTCTTCCCCTGTCTGCAATTACTAGCTAGCAACTGAGAATTCAAAGGAATCTGGGATATCTTTAGGAAGCAAGTACCTACTCTTTGCCTCCTCTCAGGAAGCAAGGTCCTTCATTACAGCCTGTTGTGGCAAGGGGCTTGCAGATAAGAAGGGCAGGAAACCTGCTGGGCTTTGCTTCTTTAGCAACTCTAAATATTTTCCATAGTCTTAGCACTGTGAGTCAGCATTTCTAGAGCCTTGACTTGTTTATAGCAGCAATCAGTGAGATGGTACAAGGTAGGTGGGGTGTATGTGTCTAAAAGGAGAAACCCTTAGCCCAGGCACAAATGGGGAAGGTACCAACTGTATTTCCAAGATGTGACTAATGGGAAGCAAA